TTTTATCCCTCTGACTGGATAACTAATTGATATGTTTTTGGGTTCACAGATTCTTTCTTCTATTTGATTGAGTCTGCTGTTGATTTTCTCTATTAAATTTTTCAGTTAAGTCATTATATCATTCACTCCAGAATATTTATTTGGTTCTTTTTTATGATTTCTGTCTCTTTGTTGAACTTCTAATTTTGTACATGTATTGTTTGCCTGATTTCATTTAGTTCTATCTGTGTTCTCTTGTAGCTCACTAAACTCCTTTAAGAAAATTATTTTGAATTCTTTGTAAATCAGTTTGTAGATCTCCATTTCTTAGGGTTGGTTACTGAAGCTTTATTTTGTTCCTTTGTTGGTGTCATGTTTCCTTGATTCTTCCTGATCCTTGTAGACTTGCATTAGTGTCTGTGCATTTAAAGAAGGATTCACCTCTTTGAATCTTTACACACTGGCTTTAGTAAGGAAAGTCCCTCAGCAGTCAGCCTGACCAGACATTCTGGGTGGGCTGGATCATGTGCAGGCTGGCTAGTGAGATATGTGGGCCAGCCTTGTGCTAGGGTTCACAGGCAGGCAGGCCTGATGCCAGGGTCTTCAGGTGGGCTTGCCTGGTGCTGGAGTCTGTGGGTGGGTGGGCCTGGTGCCAGGGTCCATAGGTAGGTCTGCTCTGGGGATTGTGGTTGGTCCTGGTGCCAGGGAACATCAGTGGGCAGGCCTGGTGCTGGGATCTGTAGGCAGGTAAACCTGGTTCTGGCATCCACGGGTATGTTTGCTCTCTCTTTCCCCCATAGGAGAACTTTCAGATTAAGGGTATCTTTTTTTGGGCTTCTCTGTGTGAGTTGTGAGAGGGGTGACATAGGTAAAATAAAACTTTATTTCTTACCCTACCAAATGTGTCTTTTCTTGTTTCTGTGTTCCACCAGGGTGCTGTAATCTCTCACCTAGATTCTAGATCCATAGATGGCTATTAAATCAGTGTTTCTTTGGGGGTATGAGGGCTGGGACCTTCTATTCTACCATCTTGCTGATGTCACTTCTTAATTTTACTTTTAAAAGATTATTGTGAGAAGGTTGTCTTAAAGAAGAAACTTACTGTGGAATCAAACCCCTAGCATTTCCTTTTATTGTAATGACAGTTCCTATGTAAGATGTTCCCTTGACCCAACGTTGGGATTCTTTTTACAGTTCATGAATCTCTGGATCTAGTTAGTCAGACTATATTCATTAGTACCCAAGAGAAAGAGAATTTCTTTGTATGTGCTGTCTCTAAAATCATGCATAGTTCCAGCTATTGTGAAACCTTACTTGGGTTCCCTTCTGAGTTGCTTTGCTCTAGGGGTGATGGGGTGATCTCAGGATAAGGACTGGGAGCCCCCATGCACAATTTTGCTATATCTAAAGAGTGAAAGGGGAAGAATTTAAGAAATTGTCTCCTCTATCCTGACCCAAAATAACTGTAAATAAATATCCAGATATCATCCACAATTTATCATTTTACATTGCTAGTGTTGAATCCATCATAAATGTTAACTTTCAATATGATTTTCTATTTCTGCCCTAAAGCAGTATTCTCAATGTTGACATCACAAGCTGAGAGAGGTTTATTACTTACTGGCTCTGAAAGTATTGTTGCCACAAACCAGTGTACTACCAACTGAGAATTCAGGTAATTGGATTTTGTTCTTCACATGGGCTAAGAGGCTCAACTGGTCAGTCAATGAATGAACAATAGAACAGATTCCTCAGACTTCACTGATGAACCTAAATGAACTAGTGCCGAATTAGAACAGCAAAGGCCAAGATGGGCATCCATATTGAGGCAAGAGTATTGAACAGTTTTATTGAGACTCAGTAAAGTCTAAAATATCAAGCCAGTGTGGGGATATATGCACAAGCTTTAAAGTGTGAGGAGAGAGTTTAGATAACCATGTGAGGCTTTAAAACCTGAAATAATGATTTAGACAGGTATGGTGACTGCATATATTATTGAATATGTGGGTTCTAGGGTGAGCATGGTGTGTCTAACCAGAGCATTGTCCTATTATTGGGAGCAGCTTCTTGTAACCCATTGTAGTCATAGCATTGCCCACAAACACTCACTTAAAATATTACTGGGCATCATGATCTGGGCTATCAGTTTTTTAAAATTTATTATTTTGTGAACGTATATTAAAATTAAATGATAATACAATGCCATTAAATAAAATAAGAGAAATTTAAGACAAGAAAATCCAAAACAATCTAATTCCACATCCAGTCTCTAAATTTCTTGATGTCTTATTGTCCTCCTATCCTTTAATGGTTTCTTACACTTCATCTTGGCCCTTATTCCAATGATTGTACACTTAATTTTATCATTATCAGTATCTTTATAATTTTCTTGTGTGTGCATGGGCATGCTCACACATACACATGCACAACCAATGATCTCATTTACACTTCACTGAAAACAAATGGAAGCAATCAAATGGAAACTCCCTTAACTTCTTGCATTCTTGACCTTCACTTTTACACATAGAATAGACAAAATGTCCCCGCTTCTACCTAACTCTCTTTAATCTAGATTTAATCCTGTCTCCATTTCTCAAGTAATTCACCCCTGAAATTTTCTTCTCCATCCTCCTCTCATATCAGCAATCTTTCCTTTTCAAATCTATCACTCTAAACCACATAAAAACACCCTGGCTCAAAAAAAAGATTATAATCAAATATAGTAACATGATTTATTTAAAATATCAATGGTTTGATGTATCAATGGTATGATAGGAATGGTACGACTAAGAAGTTAGCTTTTAAATATGAAAGTGGATTTTGGGACAGTAATGAAAAGACATTTGTGCAGAATAAGATGTAGATGGTGAGTAACTGAGAGATATTCAAGGACTTTTGGTGAATATTCTTTTTGTTTTCCAGGGAGAATACTTCCCTATATGGCAATGAAAAACTACAGTACTATCACTGAGTTCATTATCCTTGGACTATCTACTGACCCCCATATTCAGGCTGTACTCTTTGTGCTGTTCCTTTTGAGTTACCTCCTCACTTTGATGGGAAATTTCTTGATGCTGCTGGTAATTAGAACTGATTCTCACCTCCACACACCCATGTACTTCTTTTTGAAACAGTTATCCTTCCTGGACCTCTGCCACTCATCTGTCACAGTCCCTAAGATGCTGGAGAATCTACTTTCTGAAAGTAAAACCACCTTTGTAGAGAGCTGTCTAGCTCAGGCTTTCTTTGTGTTTGCCACTGGGGGCACCGAGGCATGTCTGCTGGCTGTGATGGCCTATGACCGCTATGTTGCTATCAGCTCCCCTCTGCTCTATGGCCAGGTAATGAGCAACCAGCTCTGCATTGGGCTGGTGTGGGGCTCCTGGGGCCTGGCCTTTGCTGATGCTCTCATCAACATCCTCCTGGCTATCAATTTAGACTACTGTGAGGACCAAACTATTCCCCACTTCAGCTGTGAGCTGTCTTCTCTCTTCCCTCTGTCATGCTCTGATACCTCCACCAACTTCACACTCCTGCTCTGCTCCTCTGTCTTGCATTTCTTTGGAACCTTCGTTATGATTGTTTCTTCCTATGCCTGTATTGTCTCCACCATCCTGAGCATCAGCTCCACCTCAGGCAGGAGTAAGGCCTTTTCCACTTGCTCTTCTCACCTCACTACTGTGATCTTGTTTTATGGCTCAGGTTTCATCAGCTATCTCTTACCAACTTCAGGTTCCCCTCTGGAGATGATCTTCTCCTTACAATACAGTGTGATCACACCCATGCTGAATCCCCTCATCTACAGCCTGCAGAACAAGGAGGTGAAGGCAGCTATGGGAAGAATGTCCAGAAAATATTTTCATCATTTCATGTAGTGACACAAAATCATGATGAAAGGGAAACTGAACCATTATGCTACATGGTCCAATAACAAACTTTAAGGAGATTTTCTTGATTATCTATGATGCCAGATGCGACAGAGAACAGTGGCATTTATTTCCTTGGAAATGCTTGTAAAGAGAACAGAAAACTCTTGTCTGAGGATGAGTCAGGCTCAGTCTTATTCAAAAAAGGAGAAAAGAATCAGATAATGCTCTTTTTCAGGGGATCATTTTATAAATATGTTGATTCATTATTCATATCTATGTGGACTTCTATTGCTATTGGTTGTTCATTATTCCTTCACACTTCTTCAAATAATTGCACCTAAAATCCTTAGGAAAACTGATTCCGTCAAATTTTTATATCCATCAAGTGGAGTGATTCGGTAGCCCAGGATAGGCTAACCATTCTACGCCTTTATTCTAACAATGAAATGAGGCAAGGAGTGAAACCAAGACCCAAGTGAGGTTATTCAGAATCTTTCTCTAGGAAATTTCAACATTAAGCAGGAACAAACAACCAAAAAGGTAACATTCCAAACAGTCAATCTAACTGTAGTGCCTAAAGAGACTATGAAACCCTGCTCCCCTGGTATCTGTCCTTCCTGAGATCATAATTTTAACAATTATAGTACAGTCATGTGCCACATAATAATGTTTCAGTCAACAACAGACTGCATAGAGGATGGTAGTCCCATAAGATTAGTACTATATAGCCTAGGTGTGTAGTAGGCTATACCATCTAGGTTTGTGTAAGTACAATCTATGATGTTCATACAATGGCAAAATTGCCTAGCGACGTATTTCTCAGAATGTACTCCATCATTAAGTGATGCATGACTGTTATAATAGCTAATACGTTACATTTCTTAACTCATGCCAAGAAGTGTGCTAAATTCCTGTGATAGGCAGAATTTAAGAGGTCCTCATTCTAATTCCTGGAACTTGTGAATATGTTGTGTTTTGTGGCAAGAGGCTAGGCAGACATAAGGTTATAGACTTTAAAATAGGGAGATAATCCTGGATTCTACAGGTGGGCTTAATCTAATCACATCTAATCTAATCCTTAAAATAAGGGAAACTCCTCCAGCTGTAGGCAGGAAAGATGAGGCAGAAGGGAAGCTGAGAAATAGTATAAGCATGAGAAAGATTCAACCCACTGTTGCTGGTTTTAATCATGGATGGAGCCACAAGCCAGAGATTGTAGGTGGCCTCTACAAGCTGAGAACAACTCCTAGCCAAGAGCCAGCAAAGAAACAGGAATCTCAGTTCATGGAATTGAATTCTGCCAGCAACCTGAATGATGTCTACCCAAGATCCTCCATGTAAGGACTGCTGACTTGGTTTTGGCCTTGTGCAACCCAGAGCAGTGAAATCAGTTGATTCCACCCAGATTTCTGACCTAAAGAACTGTGAGATAGTATCATTTTAAGCTACCAAGTTTGTGGTAATTTGTTATGGCAGCAGTAGAAAACTAATACAGTACTTTAGCTTTAATATCATACTTAATCATCTCAACAGATATATGAAATAGATTTTATTGTTAGTTTTCCTTTACTGGTAAGGAAATGAAACTCAGGATGTTTGCCTGTCCAGTGACCCATAGCAAGGGAATAGTGGAGCTGGAATTTAACACGTGCAGTCTGAACCAAGTCCATGCTCTCAGTCACTGAACTGTCACCTCCATTATGTCTATGAGGCTCCCAAATCCTTTCCGTAATTATTTGCTATCAGATTTAGTTGCTTACACTCAAAGAATGGTAATTGGTACAGATATCAAAGGTGAGGTTCAAGCAACAGAATTTCAGTGAAATGAAAAGTGCTTAGAATTAGATATTTGGTTAAGATTTGGGAAAAGACAGTCATTATTATGCTATTACTATTACTCTTCGATTTTGTGAAATATCCTTTTTTTCCCCAAAAATTCCTTTCCCCCCTTTAATCAGATTATCCACAGTCGGTTTCTGCTTCTTTCAAAGAAAGCTAATTAGTTTTGAACTGGAACTAGAGATTGATTTGTAGGCAACAACTCTCAGGGAAGTGAGAATGTGTGCAATTAGTTATCGTGCTAAGATGTGCACAATGAAGTGAGTCATCTGTCCATTTTTACTGCTCATGGTATGTAGTTGCCACTCTCATTTCAAGACCCATGATTGCCTGAGACCATAGACCCTGTGCTAAGCCTCTGTATAAGAGGAAGTTGCTAAAATTAAGCAAGTCCAAGAAAAAGAGGAATGCCCAGCAGTGAAGCAGGGTCTTCTGTTGTCAAGACAATTATTTCATGTCTTTATTTTTGACCTTGAGGTACAGAATAAATTTCAAGATTTTTCTTTCCCTATGCTGAAAGAATATCTGTCACTTTATGGATATAGAGCAGGGACCATACAAAAATAACTCAGAGACTGATTGAGTGAATTCACTATCACACCAGGTTGCTTATGGGAGAATTGGGTGTTGATCAGGGAATTACAACATCTCAATAATTGGAATAATGACATCATGGAGAATTTGGAGGACCTAGAGAACCACGAACCTCCAAGCCTCTCTAAAACCACCATGTCTCCTTTGCCTCAGCATGATGTGTCTGCCTAACGTAGAAAAGCTAGTAACTCCTCGTATCCTATATTCTTCCATGTTTCTCTTTTGAGCAGGATTTGTCCAGGATTCAAAATCAACATGGTTTGAAAGGTGAAATCAGAATAAGAAAGGAAAGAATTACATATAGAAGAAATTATGATAAAAGATGAATTTTTGTCTCCAGTAATCTAGGCAATATTTCTAGGAATGGATTTTACTTTTTCTTAAAATAGGAAAGTAAATATAATTTCTGTGTAGTACTGTTTTTTAAAATCATTTTTACATATCTATATTCACTTATTAAGACATCATTTTACATAAATACCTGAACGGGATCACATCATACAATCTATTTCTTGGTGATATTTTTTTTTTAGCTTGTCAGCCTTTCCATGTCTTCTCTTGCTATTCTCCACTCAGGGTAACCTGTGTTAACCACAGAGTATGCATCTTTCTTAGCTTTCTCTGGGTTTGTATGTTCATGTTCAAACATCTGTACACATATGCTCATATGTATACAAATAGAAGCTTTTCCACCTCTGCTTAAGAAGTCTTTATGATACACATTTTTCTTCTGTTTGCTTTTCTTATTCATTAATATAATATATAAAACTTACTACACATCAAATGGCATAGCTCTAATTCATTTTTGTTTGTGTCTCAGCATAAAATTCCATCTTGTGAATGTGCCGGTTTCTCAAACCATTCCCCTACATTTGGGCTAACTTTGCTTCCATTTTTAACCATCACAAAAAATGCTACAATAAACGTTTTTGAGTACATAACATGAAATCTGAATGTTTCTGTTTCTCGGGGATTGATGCCCAGAGATAGAATCATGAAGTGTATATATGTTTCTAATTTTAGTTGATATTGCCTGATCATTTTTCAGCTGTGCTATAATACTTCACATCTCCCCACCAGAAAAGTAAGAGTGCCCTTTAACCCCTATTGAACCTGCAATGTGTTACTGTTTATTATATAGTGATATTTCATTTTTATTTCAATTTGCATTCCTCTGACCGTAAGGAAATATAAACATCGTTCATATATTTGTTGACCATTTGCATTTGATCTTCTGTGAAGATCATATCTGCAGCCTATTTTTCTTTTGGCTTGTTTGCTGTTTTTAATCAGCTTTAGAGCAATTCACATTTCAGGTATATAAACTACGTATATTCTACGCAGCAAGTGTTTTTTCAGCTCTATTGTTTGCCCTTGTCTTTGTTTATGATATCTTTTGCCATGCGAAAGTTATTTAGGTTTTATATATTCATACATAATTTATTTTCTTCAAACATTAAGTGTCTTTACCCATCTAGGTAAAGGTCTACTTCACCTTTGATTTTAAAAATACTTCCCTAGATGTCCTTCTTAGACTTTAATTTTTTAATTTTTTATGTTTGTCTCTAATTGTTTGGAATTCATGTTTGTACTTGGTGTGTAATAGATATCTAACTGTATTAGGTTATGATGGATAACAACTTGTGACAGCAACATTTAATAAATAAGGCATTCTTTTCTAACTGAATAGAAACTGAATCACACATTAAAGTCTGAGATAAATTTATGGGTTTTTAAAGTTTTTATCAGTGTTTTATTTATCTATTTTTGTTAAAGTATTGTGTTACATTTGGCAAGATAAGGCTCCGTCAACATCATCGCCCTCCACTATTGATCCTTCTCATTCTTTTATACGAACTTCAATATCTTTTATTCAACTTCAAAGAAAAACAATTTTGGGATTACAATTGAAAAGGCATCAAATTTAAAAGATAGTTTGGGGATAGAAGATATTAAGTCATCCCATTAAGAAAACTGTCACAATAAGAATATGTCTTTCAATTTGTTCAGACAGTGTTTATATCCCTAAATAAAATTTCAAAGATTATCATTATATAGGTCCTGTGCCATTCTTTTTAAATGTACTCATAAGTTTTTAAAGTTTCTCTCACTGATGTAAATGGGATGTTTTCCCATTTTTGTTTATAGGTTCTCATTGTTACTACAGAGGAAAGCTGGCAAGTTTTCTATAGTAAACTTGTATTCAGTGTAGTAGATAATGTGGAAATGCATTTGTTTGCATCTCTTCTAATCCTATTCTAGTGCATATAAACTAGAAGTGTAAAAATTATATTTGCAAACTCTGTTGGATCTAGGTTTCAAGAAGCTTTTTTATTAAGTTTCAATTAGATACATTCATGTAAAATGGTAACTTGGACCTGAATCCTGGGAGGAGAGAGGCAAGATGTGGAGCATCCACTTTACGGACCTAGATCATGGCAGAGATGGCATGGCTCTGCAGCCAGCAACGGTGGTGGAGGCTCTCTGATTTAGCAGCTTCTACATTAGTAGAGATGGCTTTTGACTAGGTTGAAAGTAGTATGACTGCAGTCAACTGCTGCAGTAGAACTTTCCTGATTCCTTGGCTTTCTGTACCAGTGGGAACAGCGTTTCCTATTGCAGCAGAGGAGTGGTTCTGGGGACTGGGTATGTTGTTAATTAGGAGATCATCCTAGTAACTGCTCCTCCAGCCCTTCTTAATGGGTTTTGTAAGCAACTGACTCCTGTGTCAATTTCCTTTCTGTGATTGCAGCTGGACCCAGATGGATGCAATGAGCCAAAGTACCAAAATCTCATATTAACTCTTTTTTTTTTCTTTTTCTATAATCTCTTAAGTTTCCTAGACATGCAATTATATAACCAATTAAAAAAGATACTTTATAGTCTTCTTTTCCAATATACATATAGTAATTTCTTTTGTTTTTTATTTTGTGAAAACTTCTAAAATAATACGTAATAATGATATCAATGGGCATCCCTGGCTTATTCTTGAATTTAACTAATATTGTTTTAGTGTTTCACATTTGAAATAACATTTCCTGTAATTGTTGATATCGTATTTATTTTATTTTAGTAGTTTCTCCCTATTCCTATTTCTTAGCAATGGATACTGAATTTTACAAATTACTTTTCAGCATCTACTGCTATTGACCTACAGTTTTACTTCTTTGGTTTGTTGATGTTGTGAAAGCACAAATTGCACTGGATACAATAAAAAAGCAAAGAAAACTGTGTTCAAAACTATTGCAATAGGGAAAAGAGGCGATAACTGAGTCAGAACTCAACTCCACTAAAACAAAAGGCAGTAGAGTTTTAAGAACTGGGGTGAGGGGGAGATCCTAGGCTATCTGTGTTTGCTAATTGGCTTTACCCAAAAGGAAAAATAAACTTTTTTGTATCTTTGTGATAGGAGGTAGTTTTACAACTTAAAGACCAAGGTGCCCTCAAAGTTAGGCTCCTACCCTCCCACAGAAACTGGGAGATTGGGGTGCTTATCATCCTTGATGACTACATTTCAAAGAGATGGTTCCCAAGTCTTTCTGAAAGACATTCCTGGGTTGTAAAATTGGCAAGAGGACTTTTAAGAGGGGAAGAGGTGCAACAGCCGTAATAGGAGATAAGACAAAATTCTTCCACACACAAAAATCAAAAACCTACTGGCAAAACAAAGTTTTGAGTGTTACTTTCTCACTCAAGCCCATTGCATTGATTCAGATAGCCTCAAGGTAGCCCAATTAATAAGGTGGGGGACAGAGAGTGGGGGCAGAATACAATAACAGGCTTGCTAAGTAAAATTAAGATAATAGGGTCTTGAGATTTAAAAATCAATTCTATTCAAGATTTAAGGCTATGATTACCTACACAGGGAACTGACTGGAAGCTTGCCCTGCAAAAACCATTGTTTGATCAATCCCTAAAGAAAATTCAAGTTGTCGAAGCACCAGGCACCAATAAAAAGCGAGCAGTGAAGCAATGCAGTTGCTACGAAGGACATTCCAGTGCTCATCTCAAATGTGGCCATGCAGGATAATGGACAAGGAATATTCCTGAGAGCAGAGCCTGATACTAGAGAATGTGATGGATTCAGATCTTACTGAGGAGGAGAGCCAGGGCTGTAATGTATGCTACAACAAGCCTACTCCACTGACAAGGCAGGAGTCTTCACTGTTTTCCAGCAGATTTGGAAATTGCCACTGATTTGTTGAAGAAATCAACACAGTTTTCTTGTGGAATATCTACATTCTGGATTTAGCCAATTTGCTTCCTTGTTGTGTTATTTACCTTGTCCTTCTGCCCCATATTTTATCTTAAGAAAAGACTTGAGTCCTTTCTTAAAATCTTCATAAGTGGAGTTCTGTCCTTTGTGTTGCATTACATCAAGAGAAATATGATGTCTGGTTCTCCTACGTTTTTTGACAAGACTGATCAGTGGGTTCAGGTGATGACAATCATCTCTCTTTTTTATAAAGCTCTCCAACCTTCTTTTACTTAAAGATGTTTACAAACCACTGATGACCATTCCCTGAAGCAGTTATTTCATTAGAAGTTTCAAGATGGTAATTTTCTACTTTTGTTATTACTTCTACATTTATTAGCTGGAATTCATCTGAATAAAAGTCAGTTCTTGTATCCATCAGGGGTTCTTTGATTACTCTGAAATATAATTCATACTAGAAGCTTTGACAACTACTTGATTTACATTCTTTTAATTGTGAATATTCAGTGCAACCTCCATTGATGTCCAATGAGTTTTTTCTTTCTGTCCTTTTATCAATTGATTGATTGAATGATTGGTTGTGCATAGTCATTAAATCATATCTTTTTATATATCCAATGTGTTTTATTCAATTTGTCATTATTTTTCATTAAAATATTCTATTTTTGCCCTGTGGGCTGGTTGCTGTGCCCTTCTAATGAGCATAATAGACTTTGATGCCTTCCTTACTTTCTGACACAAAAAAGCCCTACATTTATTATGTGCGCTTTATGACCTAAACCTGTAGTCAGCCATTTTTCTAAGGTATCTGAGTTCCTTTAATGGCTTTTAGAAATCAAACTCAGAGTATCATAGGTGACCATTACAACTTTATCATTAATTCTAGGCATTTTCAATGGACAGAGCCTTTTAAAGCTGGCAAAAAAGTAACAAGTTCATAAATATTTCAAATTCAAATTTAAGATTGCAAAATTCTTACTTTTCTGATTTTATATTGTCTCACTTTGCTCTTGTGCTGAAATATATATTCCTAACAATGTTAGCATAGTATTTGTTTTCTCCTTCAAATATACAATAATAGTTTCATAAAACAATACCAATATTATTACTAACAATAAGACTACTGAATGAAGTATCGCTCACTGAAGCAACCCAGTCAAAACCCCACAAAATAAGGTCAGTTGAAATAATCCTTTTCTGTGGTAGTTATATCACTACTTTGATATACAGCTAGACTCATTTGTTTTAGTTTTGTTTTTAATTTTAAGATTTTTTATTTAATCTTTAGCTTTTTTCTTATTTAATTTTCTTATTTTTATTTTGTAAAACAGTTTATTCATAAGTCAATACTATATAACAAAGTACATTCAAAACAGTATCACTTTCATCTCCGTTTTCCCCACCCTTTTTGCTTTCTCCATCCTCCTATATGCAGTCATTTTTATTAGGTTTTGCTTCACACTTCCAATGTTCCTTTTTAAAAAACTAAACAAATTATATGTGGGTGTGTGTGCATGGGTGTGTACTTGCTACTCAAAAGCCAAAATACTATTTAGACCACCCTGCATTTTGCTTTCTTTACTTGACACTATATCCTGGATATCACTCCATAGCGATACATAGATCATGTTCTTGAATCTTCCTCATTCCTTTCTGCAGTTTTAAAGTACTCCATTGTGTAAATGTCCAGTAATATATTCAACCAGTCATCTACTGATGGACATTTGGGTTGTTTTCAATTTTTTGCTGCTATAAATGAAGCCACAATTAATAATATTTCACAGATATACACATGTAAATATCTTGAACCTTTATTTAAGCCTTACTAAAGTGACATGTGGCCAATTATCCAGGTAACTACATAGGAAATGTGAATTATGAAAACCTTTTGAAAATTACTTGATACTGGCCCTTGAGATAACAGTAACTGCTTGGCAACCAAAAATGTCATTGCTGTTCCTGTATGTTATACAGCCAGCACCATATTGATCCCCAGTTACTGGATATAGTTAGACCAGGTATCTTTAACAACTGGAAACTTCTCCCCCACTGGTTTCTTGATCTGTGAAGATAAGAATAGGAGAGATCACAGGAAAACGATTGAAGCATATATTCTGCTTGTATACTTTACCATGACCATCTATTTCTTGTATAATAAAATACTAATTTAAAAAAATTTGCCTTACTTGATTAATATTAATATTGATTAATGTTAAATCCAGTTGAATAAATAAACTCATCTCATATGCATATAAGAAGATAATCTGGAGGTTAGCTGTGAGTCTCTTTCCAGATTCCAAGTGAATTCTCTGAGGGTCCATATGGCCTATATGTTCCTAAGGGAAAATTCTGATTTTTTTCACAGGTTCCAAATTCCCTTCTCCTACTCTGCCTCTGTTGAGTTCCCAGCAGACTAGCAGGAAACCTCATCTAGGAGTTCAAGTTTATCGTTTCCATTCACAAGTTGCAACGGTCACACATGAGAAAATCCCCTATGTCTTTTTAAAAGTTCAAACTCCTTAGCAAATGAGTCTAGACTTTAGCTTCAAGCTGTAACTCTCAGGAATATAGATTACTGAGCCAGTCCCCTGGTTCCTTAGTTCAGCCTAAAGCAACTGCTCTTTTGATTGGCTGGACGTCAGGGTCCTTCATTCAGATAATGCTATCAGCAAGTTGTTTAAAGTCATAGAGGAAAATGTGTGAACTAATGATTGTGTACTCACTTACTGACTCAGATCAAACTTGAGACAACATAAGAGAAATCAACAACCTGTCAAGAACTTGAAATTTTCAAGATATTTCTCATGTCTTTTCTTCAAAGCCACGAAGGGGTAAGAGTACAAATAAGATTCGGAATACTTTCTCTGCAAATGGCATGTTTTTTGGAGCCTGAGCTAATGTATTTATTTTTTTCTCCTTCTTGCTCAGCCTCCTAAAGAGAAAACTAGGTCTATTCCCAGAGTTTGGAAGTTGTGGTACATCTTCTTTTAATGAATATTACCTGATCACTTCACCTATCGACTCAAAGCTCCAGGACACTGTTCCACCAGGAGAAGCCAAGAGCATGAAAATGTTCTACTGAATCCTATGATGATTTTGTCTCCTAACCTACTCCTTAAGGTGCCTCTTTCTTCCCTTCACTCCCTTCCTCTCTTCTTGCTTTTTAAGAGGCTTAACTTCCCTTTGAAGCCTCTCATCTCTTCACTGTTCTCCAGTCTAGACACTGTCTCCAGGTCTAGAGACAGCTCTTCTGCAACACAGCCTCACAGTATCTCTTCCCTAACATGCTCTGGTCTGCTCCTCTAAAATACCCTTCTTCCTCTTCCTCTTTCTTGGGGTGCGTTAGCAATTACAATAGATCAGAAATCATGTCTCCAGCTCTTTATGTATAAGCTAATTAAATCCTTCCAAGTGTAAGATATATATTATCTTACAAGTTTACTCAATTTTTAGGTGGAGAAATTATAATTTTAAAAGGTCAAACAACATTACAAAAGTTAAACAGCTAGTAAGTGACACAATTGGGTTTTCTACACATCTATCTGTCTCTAAATTACAGGATGTTGGCAACATTCTGCTGCACTTACTGAACCTCAGGCATAAAGCCTGCATTTTATCTTGGAGAAGCTGTGTCCACCATCTGAGAGCAGCCCAGAGAGGGATAGGGTAAAAGTTCAAGCTCTTTAGGAAATGAGTCTAGACTTTAGCTTCAAGCTATAACTCCCAGGAATATAGATTATTGAGCCAGTCCCCTGGGTTCCTTAGTTCAGCCTAAAGCAACACCTCTTTTGATTGGCTGGATATCAGGGTCCTTTGTTCAGATAACGCTATCAGCAAAATGTTTAAAGTCATGGAGGAAAATGTGTGACTCTTCCTCCTAATGGAACATATTTAGGAGCATATTTAGGATTAGGAACATATTTGCCACTCTTCATGCCTTAAACTGTCTCCACATCAACCACAGATGGTGCTTCACCTGCAATTAAAATAATCTTCAGATGATCTATCCTGAGACATGTGGGGTAGGATGAAGGCACAAACTGGGAAAAAACTGTAAAATAGATGATGCTCATCTCCAACACCCTCTTAGCTCTGGTTTTAATATTTTTGTCCTTCACACCAGGTGCCTCTTCCTAAACCCAGGGCTTGAAGCTCCTTTGTGACCAGGCTTGCCTTCCAAAATCAATAAAACACCAGGCTACTTTCTCCTCCTGCTTCCTACTCATTCATACATTTATACACGCACTCTGCTGATACTTTCTGATCAACATTATGAGATAAAAGTCATATTTCATTCTACAATGACTGGTCCTTAGCTGTGTGTCCTTTGGATAGGAGCCAATTAATTCTCTCCATCTAGTGATGTTAATCTCTGGCAACAAAACTACTAGGCAGTGCTCCCCAAAGTTGTTGACATTTTATTTTTAGAAACAGCAGAAGAAAGAAATCACTAATGGTGACATTTTAGGCATAAGCTGCAGTAAAAATGTTTGCTTTTATTATTTTGCTTATTTATTTATTTTGAGAGAATCCCTCTGACAATTTACAAATACCTTAAAAAGACACCTGATGCTCCACTTGTGCGGAAGGCAAGCCCCTGAACAGCAACTCTTCTTCCTGTCTGTATTTTATGCGAGCAAATACAAATCTTTCTCTTTGTTGCAAGGATATAATTCTTCCCATAACTCATAGAGCCTTTTGGAGTTAATAAGTAGTGATATATTTGGAGGTGGGAGACAGGAAAGGGGTTTTTCTTTGTATTGCCCTGAAATCATGTCACAGAGGTGTGGCAGCCCCTTTCCTTCCACACCCTGGGTAAAAAATGGACCTTTTGCCTGACATAAAGGATTTCCTGATTCAATTCTCTATCAGCTACTTTGCCAATATACTCTGGAGAGAATGTGATGATATGAGCACCAGAGGCCCAAGTGGACACTGTGATCAGATGTAAATTAATGAGTGAAATATGAAAACTTTAGCCATTATTTTCATAATCCATTCCTCAAATAACTGTAAATATGCATGTATTAGAAAAACTAATATGCATAATTCATCATTTCTTATTGCTGGTGTATATTTCACTACAAATATTAATTTTCAATAGAATTCTTCCCAATTCTACCCTAATACAGGATTCTCAACACTAACTGCACAAGCGGAATAATTTTCCCTGGGTATGAATAATTTGTCACTGGATCTTAAAGTATTGTTGCCACCACCTGCTGCTACTGGTTATTCACACAGGTAATTAACCTTAGTCATTCAGTGCTTGGTTAATAGCTAAGGGAGGAGGAACCCTAATTCCCTTTGATCAACTGAACATAGTTGTCTTGAGTCAGAATGACAGGCCAGGGTGTACCAGACTTGGACGAGATTACAGAATAGTTATCCTGAATCTGAGGTTACAAGTCATGGGTGTCAGAACAAAGCAGGAGAACATGGGCAAGTTCTGGAGTGTGAAAATGTGGGTTGGGTTGGCATGTGGACTTCCAAAGCTGTCTGAGACATTGACAGGAGCAGAGTCTGGTTATATAGCTATTAAGAATTTAATCTGAGCATAGAATATGTGACCGGATATTATCCTGTTTCAGGGGAACAGCTTCTCTAACCAAATGCAAATAAGTGTTTCTTACAACAGCACACTAGGTTTATAACTCGACTTATTATCTTGGACTGAAATAAATTTTTATTAAATTTTATTTAAATTTTAAAACTAATTTACATTAAAGTAAATGGAGTAAAATTTAATAAAACAAACAAAAACAGAGTCTGACTCTTCCCCCTCATCTTAGCCACCTACTCCCACAATAACGTCCATCATTTCATCATCATCAATACTTATAACATGCCTACAAAATCTGAATTTCAAGCATTCCTCTATCTAACCACTTACAACTTGCTTACCCTAATGTTTGCACAGAAACAATTCTTCAAATTCAGACCAATGACTTTACCACTTTTTCCCTAACCATAATCCTCTGCATGCCCGCATTTAATTCCTTGCACAGACTTGTTTCTGTGATTCATTCACTTTGCCAGCATGCTTTCTTACCTCATTTTTTCTGTCTCTGAATATGCCCAGAAAAAACCAAACCCCACTGAAAACCAAATATCTATCAGCTCCATACATGTGCTTAAGCAGCTAAATATTACTGGAGACAATTGCATACTTGTTCAAATTATTCCCAACCTAAATGGGCACACATATCACCAGTTAATCCTACTGCATTTTCTTAGTAAATTAGTCTTCCACTTGATGTACCTGAGTTTTGTGTTCTTGGGTCGTCAAAATCCCTGACCACCACCTGACTGAAAACACACACCATATACACACAGGTAGATAAACAGAAGATAGATAGATAGGTAGATAGACAGATAGATAGAGACTCTGTTCATGATCTCAACTCACACTTCATCAAAAAACTTTGTAACAATCAGTTAGAAAGTCTGTCATATTCCAGCATAAATCTACCAAGCTAGCTGCCTCAGTCCCCATTCTCTCTACCTTCTCTCCTATTTACAATAGATAAAGGGCCCTTTCTCCTATCTATGGACAAAACTCCAGTTGTGCTCTGGATCATTCATTTTCCCTTTCTCAAGGACTTACTTCTGCTATTAACTTCTTACTCTGCTGCATCAACAAATTCTTTCTCTATTCCCACTGAGTATGCAAAATGTTCTTTTATTAATACCCATCTTAAAAATAAAAGAGAGAAATCTTTTGAGGCATAAGAAAATGGTCCACAAAATTACATGGGGAGTTGATAGAGGGGTGGTAGCTGTCATCCAAGAATATCAAAGTTATCATCAGGATGATTAGGAAGTTAGCTTAGAAATATCTGAAGATGGTTTCCAAGTACAGTCATGAAATGATGTACATGAGCAACAGGGCTAAGGCACTGGGGTAACTGGGAAGCACAAAAGGAGTTTTGATGTTTCTCTTTCTTGAATTCCCAAGGTAAATCTTTTTATCACTATGGGAAACCACAGCATGTTCAGTGACTTCATCCTTCTTGGGCTGTCTGCTGACCCTCAGACCCAAATTCTGCTCTTCGTCTTGTTTCTGATGATTTACCTCCTGACCCTGATGGGGAACATGGTGATGTTGCTGGTCATCAGGTCTGATTCCCACCTCTACATACCCATGTACTTCTTTTTGGGACAACTGTCCTTCCTAGACCTCTGCCACTCATCTGTCACAGTCCCTAAGGTGCTGGAGAATCTACTTTCTGAAAGTAAAACCATCTTTGTAGAGAGCTGCCTGGCTCAGGCCTTCTTTGTGTTTGCCACTGGGGGCACCGAGGCATGTCTGCTGGCTGTGATGGCCTATGACCGCTATGTTGCTATCAGCTCCCCTCTGCTCTATGGCCAGGTAATGAGCAACCAGCTCTGCATTGGGCTGGTGTGGGGCTCCTGGGGCCTGGCCTTTGTTGATGCTCTCATCAATATCCTCTTGACTGTAAATTTAGACTATTGTGAGCACCAAAGCATTCCCCACTTCAGCTGTGAGCTGTCTTCTCTCTTCCCTCTGTCATGCTCTGATACCTCCACCAACTTTACAGTCCTGCTGTGCTCCTCTGTCTTGCATTTCTTTGGAACCTTCATCTTGATCTTCTTCTCTTATACTCGCATTGTCTCCACCATCCTGAGCATCAGCTCCACCTCAGGCAGAAGCAAAGCTTTCTCTACCTGCACTTCCCATCTCACTACTGTGATCTTGTTCTATGGCTCTGGTTTTCTCAGCTATCTCTTGCCAACCTCAGGTTCCGTTGTGGAGATGATCTTCCCTTTACAGTACAGTGTGGTTACTCCCATGTTAAATCCCCTCATCTACAGCCTGCAGAACGAGGAGGTGAAGGCAGCTATGAGAAGAATGTTTAGAAGATATGTTAACTCTTTCACATAGTGGACCAGAGAAACAGGACCATGGAGAATAGTCCTAAACAATTCTTCAACAAGATATCTGGTAACTTGAAATTAAGGATTATTTCTTGATTGCCCATCATGCCAGCTGTTGAAAAATATCTGTGTGTATGCATCTTAATACATGCTTAAGAAGAAGGCAGCAAGCTCTATTCTTAGGAAGATTAATGGTCAGCCTTATTCAGAGGAAGAGAAATAGGTCATATAATTTTTTCCAAGGTGTATTACTATATATATGTTTTACTATATATATATGAGTGTGTGTGTGTATATATATGTGTGTGTGTATATATATATATATATATATGGCACATCTGTATATGCTGTAGAGAACATCTGTTATTTTCGCCTGCCCAGTATGCTTTCACCCTTCCTCCAGTAACTGCGCACCACTCTTGCTTAGGGAAATTGACCCTTCTCCATTTTATCTAGCCTGGTGGGACTCTCCGTGGTGTCTCCAGTCTCCTCTCACCACAAGGAGATCATGTGACCCACAAAAGGCTGGGTATTCTACCACAGCCTCCTAACAAGAGACTGCTCAGGCCTCTCTGCCACTGAGAACCCCAGTGAAATCCTGTCCACTGTGCTTCCTCACAGGAGGTTTTCCAACAAGCAAAGTAGCAATAGCAAACTTTTTCTGTGTATGTGATGAAGATTGGCCCTGAACTAACATCCATTGCCAATCTACCTCTTTTTGCTTGAAGAAGTTTGTTGCTGAGCTAACAGCTGTGCCAGCCTTCCTCTATTTTATGTGGGGTGCCACCACAGCATGGCTTGACAAGCAGTGCTATGTCTATGCCTGGGATCTGAACCTGTGAACCCTGAGATACTAATGCAGAGTGAGTGAACTTAACCACTCTGCCACCGGGCCAGACCCAATAGCAAACTTTTAGTAGAGATGCTTACTTTAAGTGTTTTACACATATAATCCTCTTTAATCATCTCAACAACTTTGTGTGAGCTAAGTACTATTACTCTTGTTTTATAAATGAATGACTGAGAACCAGAAATGTTTCCTAAAGGCAAGGGGAGCTTGAATTTCAAACTAGTCAGTCTGGATCCAGAGTCCATTTTCACAAACCCTTTCTTGAGTCTGGTGTCCTTTGCAAGACATCCTTTTCTTTACCAATGTGAACCAAATTCAAATTATGTTGGTTGAAACTAAAGAATCCAAACTGATACTCAAACTGACACTAAAAAGTGAATTATGTCCTCCACTTGACCTCCAGTGAAATGTGTGGAATTTTTAAATTAATATACTAGAAGGTGCAAAAGACAGCAAATCTTCTATTTGTATTCTCCAATGGGAATGTACATACCAAAATATTCAATGGCAAACATATAATTACCCCCGTGATCACTAAAATCATGCAACCACTGAGAATAAAGCTCCAGTGACTAAGAAGCTACTGCTGTCATCTGGTATGGTGGGAATAAAAATATTAAGACTCAAGGATAGTTTCAAGCAAGACAAATTCAAATCTGGAAATTCTGACCTTACTGCTTATGGCTCAAAGATGACCTAAAGCCAAACTCAGAGGTTGAGTCTCTGGCTTGCTGAATTACAGCCCTATTAGAGTTAATCATCATATTGGATTGCACATGTAAAATTAGGCAACTGACCAAGAGTTGAACAGTGATACCTGGGAGGATTTGAGGACTCAGGGTACCAAACCTCCGAACCACTCAAAACCACCCCCACTGAACTTTCCTCACCCAAGCTCTTCCTCCCTTGGTGGAAAAATCACATGATTCTTCTCATGCCCATCCCTTCTTTTCACTCTGCTAGTTTCCAGGGTTCAAAATTAACATGCTTTGGGGTGAAGTGAAAACTCAGAAAAGATAATAGAAGAGTTGCATGTAAAATTACAGTAGTCCATTAATTTCTATTTTAAAAATATGGAGATAAATTTGTGGAAAATGATTTTAAGTATGTTCAACCAAGGAGCATGAATTTGACATTTTAAAATTAATTTTTAAATACTTATACACATAACGACACATATATAATTTTTACTTACCTCTGCTTTCCCCAATTTCTATTCTTCCTCCGACCACATCACCTCCCTCTCCAGGAATCCTTGTTAACTGAATAGATTTTCTTTCATAACTTTCTCCATGCTCAAATAATCACTTATAAGTGCTCATATATATGTATAGAGATATATATATTCATTTTTATATGTCCATGGCTGTTCTGTCTTTTAAAAACTCCCTTTAAATATGCAGTTTTATCTTTTTTCTCTCACTCAGCAATACCCTGGACATATTAGTCTAGGTCAAATGGGTTAGTTCTAATTTATTCTTTTGAATTGTATTCCAATGTTCCATGGTAAGGATGTGCCATAATCTGTACAACTGTCTTTTATATGGGCAATACCTTTACTTCCAGATGTTTGACATGATGAACAATGTTTTATTAAACACACTTGTATATAAATCCTCAAGTTTTGATGCTTTTATTTATATGGGGGTGATTCTTAGGAACAGGATTCTAAAATCAAAGTGGTTATGCATTTTAATTTGATTATATATTGCTAGATTGCTTTCTGGAAAGTTCACATATCCTAAGTAATCAACAAGCGTAGTTTTCCCCTATATACTCTCCAGATAGATCATTTAAAACTTTTTGCGTCTCATGGGTACAAAATGGTATCTCCATTTAGCTTATTCTGCATTTTCCTTACTACCAGTGAATGTTACTATCTTTTCATGTGTTTGTTAATTATTTGGATTTGCTCTCCTTTAGGCTGCTCTTTCATATCTTTTGTCTATTTCTCTTTTGTGTTTGTCTTTTTCTTGTCTATTGGCAACATCTTGTACATTAGCAATATTAACAGTAGTTTGTAATCTATGTTGCAAATATTGAGTAAGATCTATTACTAGTCTATTTATTTTGTTTTTATTTTGTCATATAAAAGTTTAAATATTTACATAGTCAAACATGTCTATCTTTTCCCCAATAGCATGTAGATGCCCTGGTTTGATTAAGAAATTCTCTAACTACTCAATTGTACATATTATCTCTTAATTTTCCTTATTTGTATTATTGTGTATTTAATTAATCATTTGGAATTTACTTATATTTTGGTGTAATAGGGATGTCTAAATGTATTATTTTATGGATTTAAAGTCACTTAGACAACAATATTTATTAAATATTACATATATTCTTTCCCATTGAATAGAAATAATATTCGTCATACATTAAATTCTACGGTCTATATCTGAGGTTTCTTTTCTGATTCAATTATCTATTTGTCTTTTTCTATTATACTTTTACATTGATTATTCTGAAATATAATAAGGCAAGTCTCTTCTATACATCTCCTATTTATATTTTATTAACAGCTTTGTTGAAGTGTAATTCACATGCCATGAAGTTTAGTCATTTTAAGTGTGAAGTCCATGATTTTTAGTGCATTTACAGAGTTGTGCAACCATCACCACAATCCAATTTTAGAACATTTCTATACCCCTAAAAGATCCCTGGTACTCATTTGCTGTCACTCCTTCTTCCCATCTTCAGACCCAGGCACCCCCAGACCTAGATTTGCCCTTTCTAGACATTTTATTTAAATGGAACTATACAATATGTGGTCTTTAGTGTCTGGCTTCTTTCACTTAGCATATGTTTTTGAGGTTCATCCATGTGGTAGCATGCACTTCCTTCCAGTCCTCATATGGTTACTGTTTGCATGGTGTATCTTTTGCCATCTTTTAACTTTCAAGCTATTTGTGTCTTTTAATCTAAAGTGTTTCCCTTGTAGACAGCATGTAGCTACGCTTCACTTTTCTTAATCCAGTCTGGCTGTATCTGACTTTTGATTGCACTTTTTGATCAATGTACATTTAAAATAATTATCGACATGGTTAGACTTAAGTCTAACATAACCTGTTAGACATAATTTGTTTTCTATATCTCATGTCTTTTTTGTTCCTCTGTTCCTTCTTTATCACCTTCTTTTGCATTAGGTAGATATTTTCTAGTGTTTCACCTTATTTCTTTTGTTGATTTTTCTAACTTATTTTTTGGGTTATTTTCTTAGTTATTGCTCCAGGGTAATGCTTCTCTCTAGAGGATAATTCTCTATCTATAGAGATAATTTCTAAAGATATCTCTATCTCATAGAGATGACCTATAAAGATATCTCTATCTCTAGGGGATAATTCTTCCCCTAAGGGGACATTTGCCAACGTCTGGAGACATTTTTGTTTGTTACAATTAAAAGAGTGTTACCGGTACCTCTTGGGTAAAGATGAGGGATGTTGCTAAACATCCTACAATGCGCAGCAGGACAGCTGTCCACAATAAAGGAATTATCCAGCCAAAAATGTCAATAGTATGGAGGTTGAGAAACCCTGCTCCAGGGATTATAAAATTCTTCTTAATTTATAATTATCTACTTCAGAATAATACTAAATTCTCATAAAATATAGAAGCTTTGTTCCAGTATAGCTCAATTCTCTCCCTCTATTTTGTGTTGTTATTATCACACAATGTCTACATTTGTATGAATCCAAAAATTCACTATTACAGTTACTGCTTTACCAAATCTTATGTTTTTTAAAGCAGTTAAGAAAAGAAAGGAGAAATTATAATTTTAGAGTCTTTTATATTAACCAACATATTTACCATTTTGATACTCCTCATTTTATCCTGTGGATTTGAGTTAGCATCTGGTGCCATTTCCTTGCTCATTATATGCTCCATTCCCTCATGTTCTCTTTGTACCATTATTGTCATAATTATTTCATCTTTATATGTGACAATATCAACAATACAACTTTATAATTATCTTATGCAATTGCCTTTTAAATTAGTTTTAAAACCAAAAGGGAGATATATTTTATATTGTCTTTTGTAATTATCTACGTAATTACCTTTACTAGTGTCCTTTATTTCTTTATGTGGATTTGAGTTACCATATTCTGTGACTTCCTTCTGGCCCAAAGAACTTCCTTTAGTATTTCTTCTAAGGC